GAGAGAATCGAAAAGAAAGGTAAAAAATTATAAACATTTTATGTATAAATTTTATTGGGGACCCACATAAATTGGTTAAAATATCTATGAACAATCATAGATCAATTTTCTCACCAGCGATTAAAACCATTAAAAATCCTTAACCTCTAGAAAGTTGACAAACCAATTGTCAAATCTTTTTAAATGTGGCATGTAACTACCTGAAAAAAAAAAAAAAAAAAGGCTTTTTTTTTTTGTTTTCTTTCAATTTTGTTATTAGCTAAACAAAAATATCTCTTTCTAAGCTTGTTCGTGGAGCCCAAGGTATGATATTTTGATCTTCAACGATAAAACCCATAACAATTCAATAGATTTTTTCCTATATTATTAAAACAAATATTCATTATGTAGTGAAAATTTTGGAGAAAAATTACTAATCTAAACAATAAACTTTATTAATATATGATTAAAAAGTTATTTTCATTGAGTTTGCCACGTGGCATCTCTTCTAGCTCTCTATTTACTTTTCTTTGCTTTTTTTTTATTTTTTTAGATTATTTTAATTTTTTCTTCTTTTTAAAATATTTATAAATATTTTTATTTTAATTTTTAAAGATGGGATCTATTTTATTAAGCTTTTTTCATTTTTTTTTTCTTTTTACCAAATTTTCGTTTTTTTATTCCTTTTTAACTTTTATTTTATTTTTTTTAAACTTTTTTTGCTTGTTAAAAATTTTTTAGTTTTTTTATATATTTTATATGTAATAAATATTTTTTGTTAAAATTTTTTAAAGGTGTGACCCACTTTATACCAATCTTTTTTTTTTTTTCCTTTTCTTTTTCTTTTTAAAAATTTTTTATAAAAATTTTTTAATGATATAAATTTTTTTATATGAGACTCATTTGATACTAAAAGTATGAAATGTGTTTGCCTTTTTTTTACACTGTTATTTTTTTATATATTTATTAAATATTTTAATGATTTTAAAATATTCCAACGTGTTTCGTGTTAGCCTCTCCCGACGAAAGTCTGGTGGGGTAAGAAACGAGTCAAGCTGATAGGTCGTCGCTCAATTTTGAAAAGGACCTTGCAAAATTATTTCACATTTTCAGGTCCGTGCTTTATTTATTTTTTAAACTTTTAGTCTATCAATGTCAATGTACAATGTGCAATGTACAATGTACATAACAAAACATCCAAAATGTAATAAAAAATGTCAATGTACAGATGTGCAATGTACAAGGATACATAGAGTTCACAGCTGATCTTAGATAACATAAACATCTGTCTCAAACAATCAAAATGTAATACAGGGTTCGATAACAAAAGCTAGTTAATGTCTAGGTTATGTAAAGTAAAAACAAAGCTAATATTTATTCTAGAAAACAACCTAAGCATTCTTAAGAGATCAACGAAATCTTAACCCCTCATTAATGAATTCTAACTGCTCATAGAACAATATTCTTTAAGATGTGCCGATTAATTATATATGTTTAGTCTATATATTATACGTTTAATCAACAAAAGTAAGTCCACTGAAAATGATTTTTCTTTCAATTTCAAGACCCTATCACATTTAATGCCACTATATGATAACTGCAATTGTTTTGATGAATTTCACATAATGTAAAAATAGAACGTGGAAACATATGCTCACCAAAAAAAAAAAGTTACTAGTAGAAACATGTTGTCCTATAGGACTTTGAACCCCTCAAGATATATGGAATGTCAATAATTCCTATTTAATTATGACAAAGCATGTGTAAATTAATATTTGGGGAAATGTAATGTTGGGGGTTGTCTCCGGTAAATAATTATCAAAAAGAAAAGGCGATAGAAAAGAAACTTGAATGGTCTACCATCATCCATTCAAGTCAGAAGGCATAAACAAAGTAGGTGACAATCTATGTACGTCACATATTTTTTCTTCACTCATAAAAAATTATGCATCATCACTTCAAAAAATTATCTTGAAATGAAGTAGTGGCTGTCATGACACTAGCACGACTTCCTAGAAGTATAAGGTGCAATTATTGCGAAATTTGTGCACTTCTTCCTGAATTTGTGGAATCTTTCTCAACAAAGTTGTTATGACAACTGACACAACTTCTTTAAAAGATAAAGAACAAATTAATTGCATTTCTTGCAAATTTTGTGGAATCCCTCGCAACAAGGCTATCGTGACAACCGACACAACTTCCCTAAAGTAACAAGTTGCATTTCTTGCAGTAAGTATCAAATAAAGGGGTGGTCCAATTGCTTCCGTAATGACAAAAATTGAAAGTTACGTGGAAACAACCAAGTTGATGCAAACCAAATCAACATCAAATTCTTCAAGAATTTGTTAAATTTCCACAAAGACAACTGAATAAGAATTTCAAGAAGTTTCTACTGACTAACTCAAGAAGCTCATCAAACATCAAGTGAAAGTGTTGTTCTGCTTTCCTACTCTTACGCAAAGTTTTACTGTCAAAGTATTGATTGCATGAAGATGCCCAAAAACTATCAACTTCTAAAGTTTCAACATGTTGATTATAAAGAAAATTTAATACATGTTGCACACTTGGTGAAAACTTGCAACAATGTTGGCATCTTATGTCAAGCAATTTAATCGCTTTTTAAAAGGCAATGCTTTCGATTGGTGCATAGATTTTGAATTTGGATTAATGACAATTGAAAATAACTTAATATTTTAAAATGTTTCTACAATACTGAATGCATAATTAATATGATTGAACTCATAAGTTCAAGATAATAAAAAAATGAACATATGATTGATTTTATTCTTAAGTGAAAAAATCTAAATCTCAATTGCAAAGAAAGATTGTCTAAAGTCTTTGCATTTGATTTACTTAAACAAATATTTATAATTATGAGTAATAAAAATTATTTTAACTTTCAAATAAGACATTAAGTTGTACCAATTGAAAATATGTAAAGAAAATGCTAATATATGTGCAGCGGAAAAAATAAAATATATACCAGAAAGGTACATACATTATTTTAAAAATTAAAATTTAAATCAATGAGTTATTAGTTGAAATCTTTAAATTTTATATTTAAGTCTCATCGATACATATGAATCTAGTTCAATTTTGTGGTATTATATTTTTCATGAAGATATTATTTGGTAGATATTAAAAATTTATATATAATTTATTTAAAAAAAAAAAAAAAAATTCAATCGAAAAGAGTTTTGAGATGTGGCAGTCAAAAGTGTAAGATACCCTTCCTTTGTGGCCGACATTGATAGACTAAAAGTTTAGAAAATAAATAAAGCACGGACCTGAAAATGTGAAATAATTTTGTAAGGTCTTTTTCCAAAAGTGAGCAATGACCTATCAGCTTGACTCGTTTCTTATCCCACCAGACTTTCGTCGGGAGAGGCTAACACGAAACACGTTGGAATAATTAATTCAGTGGTTCTAATCAATTCACTCTCCAAATCAGAAATTAATTCAAAAAAATTATCAAATCCTCCTTTTAAGTTTTAACCATGTACCGCAAAACCAATTTAAGACATATTAGAATTTTAAGTATTGGATTTTATTATTTTTTTTAAGATTGTACATGTGTTAAAAGAATATATTATTTATATTTAATTTTTTAATCCAAAATTTGATTTTATATATTTTTTATTATGAGTATAATAAATAACTTGATCTTTCCAAAATATATATATATATTACTGTTTTGTTGTCATAATTATGAAAAAAATAAAAAATGATTTACGTGATATAGCTTAACATATATCATTCCGCTCTTTCACGTGAATAAATAAATTTAATAAGTACTAATTAACTTGAAATATAATGAATTTTGCAAACACAAATAACAGTTAACGTATACACGTCCACAAATTTTAAAAAAAAAAAAAAAAAAAAAAAAAAAACTTAAATGAAAAGTGAAATATTAGTTATGTTGTGTTAGGACACACACTATGTTCCAACGCATGGTTTATATGAAATGTCCTTAATCCAATCTAAATTATTTTATATATTCTATAAAATAAAGACAAGATAATTTTTTATTTGTATTCCATCCTCATAACATATCATACATAAAAAAAAAGTTATTAATTGTCTAAAATATTGATGCTTTTAATAAAAAAACTTTATTTTTTATTAATTAATTTGATACTTGAAAAATTATTTATCTATCAATTATTATCATTTGAAGTTAATTATGTTAAAAGTGAATATCACATTAATTAATAAATTTATAATTCAGATACAATATTAAAATATTTTAAAATTTGAGTATCATATTAAATATTTTATTATAATTTAGAGATTATTCATGATATTAACCCTATTGAAAAAATCAAACATTTTTTATATATCATATATATAAATCTATTAAAAAAATATTTATGATTTAAGCATTACACGTAATATGTAATAAATAATTTATTTTTTTTAATAATATAATTATGTGACGTAACTTGAATGGAAATGACACATGCTAATTAAGAAAAATCATTTCATATAATCTTTTTTAGAAAATTAAATAAAAAACTAATCACCTATTAGATCAAAATTATATAACTATCAAATAAAATTAAGAAAAATAATGATTATTGGAGACATACATGTAAACATAGCGAAATTTTAAAATTTTACTTCACTAAACTATATAAATCGCGAGCTACACAAATATGCATATGCAGTAGATAAAACAAATCTTACTTTGCTTTTTTATGGTGTCAAGATTTACCTCAAACTTGACTGCAACGAACCAACAACGTGTCTAATCTCTAATAACACTACACAAGAAAAAAAAAAAAAAAAAAAAAAAAACCTTCTTAAAAAATGAAAAGATGCTAAGCCGAATCTTCTGGTAACAGAATATCGCTTGTCCTTTTCTATGTTTGCTGGCTCTTAACACATGGGATAGAAGCAAAACTATTCTAACGACAATTGCATGAATATTCCCATGGCGAGGCAAATTAAACATCTTTAAATAGAGGATGAGCTTTCAAAGTTCTATTCCAACTAGATTTTTTTTTTTTTTTGTCAAATCTTATTCTTAATAAATTTGTTTTAGGCAAGGTCTTTTTAATACAATTTTTATCCTTCTACATATTTATGCCATCGTCATTTTTTTATTCTTTAAAAAATACAAGTCGATTGAAAACTTTTTTTTTATAATTCATTATCGTATCTTTTGTTAGAAGCTGTTTAGAAACAATCGAAAATCCCTAACACAAATACAAAACGGCTCAAAGCCCACGATAGCTTCAAGTATGGTGTTCCTTCGTCTTACATCTACAGGTAGAACATGGAAACTGATCTCTGTTTCTCTGTCTCTCCCTCTCCCTCGGATTAATGATTTCCTTCCATCTCTACTTCTTTCATTACAACAAGACTGGCGATGATCTGCAAAGGAAAAAGGAAATTGGGCGTACCGTTCTATCATCACTATACATAGCTTAATAATATATGACACAGCAAAGTCCACTTTTTTGCATTTATTCACCTCCTATGCGTTCTTCCACGACTAATTTTGGAGAAAGTCTTGGCAAACCAATCACTTTTCCTAGTGGTCACAACATGCCCAATCGTCACTCCAATGAGGAATCCGCTTCCATAACCCAGCAAGACTACTTTCCAATGCAATCCAACGAGAAATCCAGAGTCTTCAGAAATTGAAGATGAAGGAGGTGGCAAGGCTCCAGAACTACTGTCACATTCTTTTAGCAACGGTTTTCCACACAACCCAAGATTTCCTTCAAAGGAACTACTTTGGAAAGTATCGAATTGGTGACCTTGCGGTATAGGTCCTGTGAGATGATTATAGGAGACGTTGAGAACCTCAAGGAAAGTGAGTTGTGTACTCAACTCCCAAGGAATTCTTCCAGCTAGCTTGTTCTGAGAAAGGTCCAAAGCTTCAAGATTCGTTAGCTTCGCTATAGCTGATGGTATTCGGCCAACAAGAATGTTATTCGAAAAATTGAGCGAGTAAAGCTCTTTGAGACTCCCAATGGATTCTGGAATTTCTCCATCAAATCTGTTGCTCGAGAGATCAATGGCTACAAGAGTTTGAATGATCTTTGGGTACAGCATTTCTGTGCCTTTGTTTGTAATTGTCATGGAATAAATATAATACCTGGGAACATGCATTACATTGATCCTCATATCCAAGTATTCAAGCAGGTAACTAGCTGATGAGTTCCTGACATCAAGACTTCTCATGGTATTCCATCTTTCAAAGTAGCCTGAAGGCAGTGTCCCATTAAATCTGTTGTGAGAGAGATCGATGATTCGCAATTTGGGAAAGACAAAATGGGACTCAGGATCCCCTATCATACCATAAAGTGCATTAGAGCATAAAATAAGAATATTCAACTCTGGAAGAGTGCCCAGCCATGAAGGGAATGCATCGCTAATCTGATTGTTCCCGAGATCAAGATATTCTAACATTCTACACTCCATCAGCGATCTTGGTATCTTTCCTTGAAATTTGTTTTTGCCCAAATCTATCATCTTTAATCTGTTTCCACTCGCCCAACTACGTGGAATGGGACCATGAAAGTTGTTGGAGCGCACCCTCAGTACCAATAAGTACTCGCTAAAGTTGCTCAAACATAAAGGGATCTCACCACTCAAGTTATTAAGGGAAACATCAAGAATAGAAAGAGAGCTCAGGTTGCACAAGAGTTGTGGGATTTCTCCGGTGATGGAATTGTTTGAGATGGAATAGAAACAAGTAGACAAGGGTGGAACTGGGAGTGAACCTTGGAGAATGTTGGAATCAAGTTTTAGATAGTATAATTTGGACCACGGAAGAACAACCGGAAATTCATCAAAACCGGTTAGAGAGTTGTTTGAAAGGTCTAAAAATAACAGAGTTTCAATGCTCACTTTCGACAGCCATTTCGGTATCTGGCCCTGAATGTTGTTGGAAGAAAGATCAAGAAGTTGCAATTGATGTTGGTGACGCAAGAAATCTGGGAACCCTCTTAGATGGCAGTAACGCAATCCTATATCAACAAGCTGAGGACTGGTGGCATTGGTATTATTTCTTGAAATTAAATAGAAATTATTTAAGGATAGAAACAGATACTTCAAATGTTTTAGCTCAAGAAATGTATCAAGCTCCACAATGCCACCCAATCTATTTTTGTCACAGTGTAAAAATTCTAGTTTCTTGAGTCTCGAGATTGAGCTTGGAACTGACCCTTCTAGCATATTTTCCATTAGGTTCAAATAAGTTAATTGGGACAGGTTCGTTAGCTTAGGAGGAATAGAACCTGTAAAATGATTACAATAAATTCAGTCAGATTTGCAAGAAATGATCGATGGAAGAAAATATATCTCAGGGCCAAAAAGAAAGGTTTTTTTTTTGATCAAATGTAAAACATTTAGGGAGGAGTTCAACTCCATTCTTCCAGTTGGACTATGCATGCATGCACATATGATAAATTTGTTCCAAAAAGAATTATTTTGAAGACCCAAATATTTAAGCTTGATGGCACTAACCTTTTGAAATACAGTGCCTAACTTCAATAATTGGAAAGAAATAATGATTTTCCAATTAAGACAAGTAACTCACCTCTAAAAAGATTATTTCCAAGATCCAAAACCGTGAGCTTGGTGAGATTACCCAGCATAGCTGGAACTAATCCTGTGAATTTGCAATTACTAATGTCCAAATATTCCAAAGAAATAAGGTTTCTAATTGAGTCCGGTAGCTCATCTGTAAAAGAATTATTTTGAAGATCCATATGATAGAGCTTGGTGAGATTACCCAGAGTTGATGGCACTAAACCTGTGAAGTAGCAATTAAGAACCTTCAAGTAGAAAATAATGTACCAAAAAAACATGAAAAATATTCCAAGGAAATAAGGTTTCCGATTGACGGTAACTTACCCCTAAAAAAATTGCGTCCAAGATCCAAAAAATGGAGATTGGGGAGATTACCCAACGTAGATGGCACTAACCCTGTGAAGTTGCAAAGACCAATTCCCAAGAATTCCAATGAATCAAGGTCTCCAATTGAAGCAGCTAACTCACCAGAAAAACTTGTGTTCAAGAGTGCTAAGACTTTAAGTTGGCTGGTGAAATTGAATTCTGGAAAGTAACCCGTGAGACCCAAGTTGTGTACCAGCCAAATGGTTTGAAGGTTTGGTAGATGGAAAATGGGCAATGGAAATTTGCCCAGCAGTCCACAATGCCCGAGATGAAGGGACGTCAGCGAGGAAAAATTGGCTAAGACACTAGGAATCGGAGAAGCCACATCTACGTACGAGAGATGAAGGTGTTTTAAGTCTGTAAAATTCTGTACTAAGCTCTTCAGATTAGGCATTTTGAGTTCCAACAACCGTTGAAAGGAGCTAGGATCCCAATTATTTGACAGATCGAGGGAAGATAATCGAACGAGCTTTGAAATTTCTGACGGTATTTGACCAGAAAATACAGAATTAGAGAGATTGAGATATGTCAGCATCGAAAGATTGCCCAACGCAGATGGAATCACGGAGTAATTGAAGTCATTGTGTGCGAGGTTAAGCTTTTGAAGGTGAACAAGGTGGAAGAGACTACTGGAGGAATTGATAGAGCCATAAAGGAAGCTACTGCTGAGGTCCAGGCCTATCACCTGACCGGAGATTTGATCACACTCGACGCCATCCCATGAACAGCAATCAACTCCTTGAAACGTCCAGTTATCAACCTTAGGATAAGCATACGAGGAAGCAGCAGATGCGCTCTCGTCGATGACGAAGCTTTCCTTGAATTGCATCAAAGCAAGGCGCTCATCGTCATGACATAGCACTGCCTGCACAGACGAGAAAGAAAAAGCAGTGAGCTGGAAAAGAGTAAGGATAAAGAGTAAGCATGCAAATGCAAATGAAGGCCTCATAATTTTTGGGTATCTTGATTTTTAGTTTGCAGTCTTTGGAGAGCAAGTAAAGTAGAGCATGGCCAGCTTTATTTTATAGACGCATAGACGGTAGCTTCACAATCGTACGTGATGGTTGAATAGTAAGGTGGGGTAATGCGGGGTTGAGAATAGCTAGACTGAGGTCTTCGTCAATGATCGTTTACCGTTCTTTATACGTTACATTTTCGGCTTTGTATGCGAGGTTAAACAAAAATATCCTTACCCTGTACCACCTTTGATTTACCTTTTTTTTTGTGATTATATCTTTTTTCTCTTTTAAGGTTTTCAAACCACTTTGTCTTAATAAATAATAATCATTTATGTATTTATATAATTAATTAATTTAATATCAAATAAATCACAATTAAATGAATAAAAATAAACATTTTTATAACTAAATAATTAACTAATAGATTTAAATTTATCATTAATGATGAATCAAATTAGAAAATTAAAAGTGAAGAAAAAGATTTTACATTTTCATTATCTTCTTAAGCTATTTAAAGACAAATACTTTATGATTAATAAGGTAGACTTAGTAATAAAGAGAGTTCATAAAATTTTGAGATTTTTAATTCAAATACTTTTAATTTTGTGTGTGGATTTAATTTTTTAATTAAATTATAATTTATTAGTTTATTGTAATATAATAATTGATTATCAAATTGATTATATGGATGTAATAATGAGTATAATTTTAAAAAAATATGCCTTATGTTATATTAATTAATTTTAATAAAATTTGATATTAAAAGATAAAAATAAAATTTTACCAGATTTTAATTTGATCACAACTAAATTATTTATATATAAATTAAGTAAAAATATTTTTATTTTGATGCATTCTAAATTTTGTCTTCATGATTAAAATTTTTATCTTTTCACTTAAATGATGATTAAAAGCCTTAATTTTTTTTTTGTAAAAAAATTTTAGGATACAAAATTGTTTCGTTTTTTAAGTTAAAATAAAATATACGACATCTGATAACTTAAAATAAATGATTATAAATTTTACATTCAAAATTATCTCAATAAATAACCACTAATAACACCCAAACCTAAAATTTTTTATGAAAAAAAAAAACCTTAAACCAATCACGATAAAGCTTCATTTGCATATCGGAGAACGGCATGAAAAGTGGCAATTCGTATTACAGCTGTCAAAGATGTAAGTGGACTTGTTACCCAAAAGTGGAGGTCAGGGATTGTTTGTTTGGGTCCAAAAGGCTCACACGTGATTTGACTTGGTTTTAAAATTCTTCCAATTACAAGAAAATTTCAAGAGTATACCGTTCTTTATACGTATCCAAATTCAAAGGAAGTATAAAGGCTGAATTACAATAATTCTTTTTTTTTAATTTTTTTTCTTTTTAACTACAGTATATTTTATGTATTCCAAATTCAAATGCGCAATCAACAAAAAACTAAAATACCAGATTTGTTTGACACTATGAGTAGAAGTGGAAATTTAGTGCATTAAAATTGATATGATCAAGTCAATTTTACATGTTTACATGAATTTAAATAATTTTAAATCGAGTAATTTGAGTTTTAAGTCATTTGAAATATTTAAATATTCATTTTTAAAATTAAATAAAATTTTTTTGAATTAATTAATTAAATTAAATCAGATTTTATCAAACACAATTAATTGTTTTTAAAGTTTTAATTTCAACAACCAATAACATATATACCTCCAATTTTGATTTTTGAAATCATAAAAGTAATTTCTTAAAAAAAAATCATTAGGTCATATAAAAAGAAAAATAAACGAATTAAAAGTCAATTACAAATTTAGAATTATTTATATAAAAAAATTAATAGTTTCCTCTAAACAACATTAATGATTTTATATATTAATTAACATTTCATTTTCATTTTCATTCCACTTGTTATTATTAGCGATCGATTCACAATGATTATGATTATAACTTACCACTTATATGTAAACCATAACTCGAAAAACTAAAACTAGTTTTTAATCAAAACGAGGATATTGAAATAAATGAAAATTATATGAAAGTTAGATATGCTAAAATAAAGTCAAATTCAATTTTATCATTTTACTTAGAAGGAAGGATCAAATTTACCATCTATCTTTGATTCTCTAAACAAGTGTAATTTTATCCTTATATATATATATTTTTAATTTAGTTACAAAATATCAAAAATTCAATTTAATTACAATAACAAAAAATTATTTTTTTCAAGTTTAAAAAGTTTGAAAATTAAAGAAAAAAGATTTTATATTTTTATTATCTTCTCAACTACACAAAGACAATTACTTTATGTTATATTTATTAATTTTAGAAAAAAAATTAAAAGATAAAAATAAATTTATATTAAATTTGAATTTGATCTATAGTCTTTGGAATTGTTCTAGTTTTTATTCGTCTGACTCTATTTACTTGTCCTTTAAACCTATAAATTTTATAACCAATCAATCATTTATACATAAATTCATAAAAAAAAATTATTTTTATTTTGATGCATTCTAAATTTTTCTTCATGCTAAAATTTTCATCTTGGACTGAAACTATTATTTAAAGGACTTGGAAAGATGCAAGTTGCTATATTCCAACGAACGAGATAATAATAAATATTTAAATTATAAATTTATTAAATATTATTTTTTAAAAATAATTATATAAATTATCTGAATATTTTATATTAATTTATTTTTCATAACACGTGTACAGCTGTCAAATATTTAAGCGGACTTGTTGCCCGAAAGGTGAGGTAAACGTTTCTTTGTTTGGGTCCAAAAGGTTCAGACGTATCGTAGGATTTTCCCTTGACTTTTCAGCCTGCTATTGTACTTTTCAACCTGCTATCGTGATTTGACTTGTATGCACTAATTCCTACGTAATCATCGGCAGGAGTTTTCAGTTATACACAAAAACATATCGGAAGTGTCTCATAATTTCATTTGATTGTTCCATTAATTTCAGAAAACAATTTTTTATAACATTTTTATTTATTTATTACTCTCTCTTTTTGTTTAACTTTTTTTTTTTCATTTTTAACAACTATTACTCTTATTTTTCTATATTTTAAATTATCTTTTTTTCTAATAAAAAATGATTATACTTCAATATCATAAAATTAAATTTAAAATTAAACACATAAAATAAATTTTTTTAATAAGTATTAGAATAAAAAGACAAAAAAAAGGAATGGAGATAGTGTATTTTTTATTTGAATATTCATATTCATATAATGGAAAATTAAATTTAACAACCAGTACTTATAACTAAAGATAACCCAAATTTTTTTTTAACAAAAGAAATCGTTGTTTAATTTTTTAAATAGAAAAAATTATAAATGTTAAAATTAAAATATTCTACATTTATTGAATATTATTTTTAAAAAATAACTTTATAAAATAACTGAACTAAATTTTATATTTATTTAGATGTCAAGTTGCTTATACATGTTGGATGTCACATATGCCCGTAGTGGATGGAATTCAACCAACAAAGAAAATACTTGGTAGTTTCTGGATTTCAAATTATTAGAAACTACCTAAGACAATTATGATTTAAATTTAAATAACAAAAAGTACTGCTCTTTTTTGTTTCTTACAAGTATGGCAAACGGATCATATAAAAAAAAAGGGGGGGGGGGGAAGCTTTCACTTAAAACTATTTATAATATAATTTTAAAATTAATTAATAACAATAAAAAATTATTTTAATATCAAACACTTTAAAGTATAGATTTTATAAAAATTTTAATAGATTTCACATAATATTAATTTTTCATTAATTAATTGCACTAAAATAATTATAAATGATATACTTTCTTTAAAAAAAAGTGAGAGAATGATCAAATATTTAAGATAATAAAGGAAAAGGAGAGATTGATAAAAATAAAATAATAAAAATTTTAAACCCCCTTTTTTGCATTTCCCCTTGGATAATATATTAGTTATCCAAACGACAATTTACATTATATCAATCAAATATAAAATTTTGTAATTTAAAATATAATATGATGATATGATATGAATAATATGTTAAAAATATAAAAATAATATAATTTAAAATTTTAATAAAATTATATAAAAATTTATTAAAAATAAAAAATATAGATCATATTTTTATATAACATAAATTATAATACATAATTTTTATATAATATATAATATAAATAAAAAAATTAGTACCCGAACATTCTAATTATCATTATCGATATTTAAGTGGAATTGTTACCCCAAAAGAAGAGGTAAATGATTGTTTATATGTTTGTGTAAGTCCAAAAGGTTCACACCGTATCTTAGGCCTACGGTCATTTTCCATATGCTCTTGTGATTAGACTTGTACTTTAGGACTGCACCAATTCCTGCGTAATCATTTTTTTCTTTTACGATATTACATAGTACAAGTAATTATTATAATCTCATACCTTTCAATTGAACTAAACTCAAATATATTAAAATTTAAACTTCGAGAGTTGGAAGATTTCAAAGTCTCATTACAATCAATTATAGGGGCAAAATATAGACCTTTCAACTAAATTTGGGAGGGAGTTTGATTCGACCAAATCACAAGGTTATTGGCTTTAGTTGTCGATACAGATGCAGAAGAGCCTTGGAGTATATCCTTCCAATGGTCGGTAGACCTCAAGGAAAGAGAATAGAAGAAAGAAGAAAAAAATTATAAATTTTTACTAAGGATTCACATGAATCGACTACAGTATCTATGAACAATCATAGACGAACTTTTTTACTTGCAATTAAAACCATCCAAAATCATAATCCCCTAGAAAATTGACAAAAGTAATAGTCAAATATTTTTAAATGCGGCACGTAATTATTTGGAAAGAAAGTTGCTTTTTTTTTTTGTTTTCTTTTGATTTTTTTTTATTAACTAAGCAAAAAATTCCCTTTCTAAGCTTGTCTATGAAGCCCAGTGTGTGATATTTTGATCTTTAGCTATAAAACCCATAACAATTCATTAGGTTTTTTCCTATATTAT